ACAATTAATTTAAATTTTGTTTAAATCACTATTACAACACAAACCATATTACACATAATTCAGACTTTGCATTAATATTAAATGTGAATGGGCGGAAATTAATTTTTAATCAGTGTGTACTACATTTAGGACATGAATGATGAGCAGAAATTCGTCAGCTGACTACCAATCTGTCCTACATACAGGAAGATGCGAGACTGACTGACATGAATTAATTAGACGTTTTATTTTTTCATTGGTCCCGTTACAGACTACTGAAAAGTAAGTTGGTGAGAATGAATTTGAAAAAGAATGATTAGGGCGCTACCTGGAGTTTTTGAAATGACTTGTTTTGTTTTCTATCAATGTGAAGGTAGTTGTATCCTTCGTCTTCAGTAAAGTCAAATATTAGAAAAAAATCTTCAAAAAAATTAGCGGAAATTCCCATTTAGACATTTAGAAGACAAGAGAAAGATTAATTACAGATTATTCCTCTCGGTAACTCCCCTTCCTTGTCTAACTTTACAGTTAGACACGGAAGACAAGGTATATTTTCAAGTGGTCAAAACGGTATTTATATATACATACATAGTTTTATATTCTCTAATGAATCACTGAGCGTGTAATTTTTTGATTTTGATCTTTTTGATTTTTGATTATAGCTTGATTCCACATCGTATTTTTGATACAAGCTCGGAATTTTCAGCATGTGATATCGGTAGCTCAAGTTTTGCAGGCCGACCATTGATGTCAGGTGTGCGTCGGCAGGGGATCGAACCCCTGACCATGTGCATGGTCGGCGAGAGTCCTAACCGCTGTGCCACCGACGCACATCAAACATCAAACAACATGAAATAGAATGTTGAAATATACATATTACTGTTTTGTTAACGCAGTATATATCCGTAGGAAATGTATTCTGTCTCTAACACCAAATAGAATGCTCAAATAGATATGTCGTATTCTGCTGCTAATGCTGTATTGAACTGTGGGAATATGTGAGAATCATATTCCCTTGGCACACACATTGTCTGTATCACACCACCACACTCGTCCCACACCCTATCAAATACTTTAGACTGAAGTCAGTTCAGCCTTCTTGGTGCTTGCGTCTTTGTTTGTTTGTCTTACTGCATCCATTTCTGGAGCTCGCTGACGTTCAACTGCTTCTCTTTGTTTGCATTTCTTATCGTATATACGTGAAGCCATCTCACGGTGACCATGTATGTATGACCCTGGCTCGTATTCGTCGGTGCTCCGCCTCACTCTATCATATGCTGCTGTCACTCGACCTCTCAGTAGCGTTCCAAGTAACAGCTTCTTTGCTGACTGATCCTGTACATATTTTAACTCCACAACAGCCTCGAAGTCCTTTAAAAATATCCATATGTCTTCTTCTTCAAAAACTGCAGGGTATATAGGCTTTCCATATGTCAGCAGGCAGCGACACCAAATGTAACAACAGAAGGCAAGAGAGGGAAGCAAAGGTATATTTTCAATTGATCAAACCGCTGTTTATATCAATACATTTTATATTGCTTAACCAATCGCTGAGCGTGTGGTTTTGGTTTACAATAAATTATATGAAATAGAATGGTCATAGATTACTAGGTATTCTAGCCGGTCCCAAGCCTGGATAAAGAGGGAGGGTTGGGGCGTGGTGCTAGCAACTCCACCCTCAAAACGTAACCAAATTGCTACTAAAACTTCAACGCACAAATATATTCAAAATTCTAAAAATACAAACAATGACCTTACTTTTCGCTGGAATCGGGGAAGTGAAATGACGCAGGCTGGTGAAAGCCTTCGGGAAGCCAGTCAGCCGATGTGCCTTCTTTCGATGAAAGCAAAAATAAGGATGTGGACGTGGAATATTCGTACAATGTACGAAACTGGAAAGGCTGTTCAGGTAGCCGCAGAAATGAGGAGATATAAAATAGAAGTGTTGGGAATCTGCGAGAGCAGATGGAACGGATGTGGAAGGAGCCAACTATCAACTGGAGAGACAATAATCTACTCCTGTCACCCAGAGGACGATCACGAACACACCTAGGGAGTAGCCATCATGATGTCACCAATAGCGGCTAAAGCTCTCATGCAGTGGGAACCAATCTCCTCCAGGATAATGACAGCCAGGTTCAACTCAAAAGGAAAGAAGGTTACAATCATTCAATGCTACGCGCCTACAAACGTCTCAGAAAAAGAGAAGAAGAAGGATTTCTACAGTCAACTACAAACAGTAATGGACAACGTCGCAAAGAGCGATATCAAAATCCTGATGGGTAACATGAATGCGAAGCTGGGAGGAGACAATACAGGAAGAGAACTCACCATGGGTCGTGAGGCCCTCGGTGAAATGAACGAAAATGGTGAACTCTTCTCAGACTTCTGCGCCTTCAATGATTTGGTGATTGGTGGCAGTGTGTTCAAACACAGGGATATACACAAGGCAACATGGATTTCACCAGATGGACACCCCAAAAACCAGATAGACTTTATTTCAATCTCAAGGAAGTGGAGACGGAGCCTACTGGACACAAGATCGAGGAGAGGAGCAGATGTGGGTTCAGACCACTATCTAGTTCAAGGGACTTTCAAAGTGAAGCTGAAAGCCTCGAGGATACCTGGGGATAGGCCATAATGCAAGTTCAACACGCAAAAACTGAAGGACATAAGCACACAGGACATTTTCCCTGCAACTGTCAGAGCAAAGCAGGAAACACTACGTGGCACCACTGAGGAATCATCCGTGGAAGACCATTGGAACTCTCTGAAGGTAATTTTCAACGAAACGTGCTCAACGGTTTTAGGAAGAAAGAAGAAACAAGACAAGGAATGTCTCTCAACGGACACTTGGAAGCTAATAGAGGAGAGGAGAATGGTGAAAGAGAGAATGATTCAATGCAAAGACGGACAAGAGAAAGAGACGCTGAGCTCAACTTACACAGCACTGGACAAAGAAGTGAAGAAGAGTGCCAGGAAGGACAAAAGACAATTCTACGACAACCTGGCTACTGAAGCTGAGAATGCAGCAGGCAAAAGGGACCTGAGGACACTATATCAAATAACGAAGTCTCTATCCGGGAAGAGATCAACACAAGTGAAACCTATAAAAGACAGCCAAGGGAACCTAATTACCAAAGAAGAAAGACAGATTAAACAATGGGCGGACCACTTCAAAGGACTCTTGAACAGACCACCACCTACAACCCGTCCAGAAATACCAACGACAGCACGTACACAACTACAAGTTGACACAAATCCTCCAACGAAAACTGAAGTCATCAATGCAGTCAAGCTTCTGAAAGCTGGAAAGGCAGCTGGACCAGATGGAATACCTCCTGAAACACTGAAAGCGGACCCAGAAACGACAGCAGATATGCTGACTCCATCATTGCAAAAGATTTGGAAAGAGGGAAAGGTGCCTACTGACTGGAGGAAAGGTTACCTCGTGAAACTACCAAAGAAGGGCGACCTAGGACTCTGCAAGAACTGGCGAGGAATCATGCTCCTGTCAACGCCAAGTAAAATCCTGAGTCACATCATCCTGTAGAGAATAAAGAACGCACTGGATACAGAACTCCGACCAGAACAAGCTGGATTCAGGAAAGGCAAATCATGTTCTCACCAAATTGCAACTCTACGCGTCATCATCATCGAACAAGGCATGGAATGGCAATCAAACCTCTACCTCAACTTCATAGACTTTGAGAAGGCCTTCGACAGCGTTGACCGCGAAGTAATTTGGAAACTACTCGAGTACTACGGTGTACCCCAAATATTCATCAACCTTATTCAACAGCTGTACGACAACGGCACATGTCAAGTGATCCTCAACGGAAAACTCAGTGAGGCGTTTAAAGTAAACACAGGAGTCAGACAAGGGTGTTTATTATCACCAATGATATTCCTAATTGTGGTGGACTGGATTATGCATCAGACAGTGGGAAACGAGAAGACAGGGATATCCTGGACCGACGTGAAGAACCTAGAAGACCTGGATTCCGCGTGTGGATGACTTATGTTTGATGTCACACAAAACCGAAGACTTACAGGCGAAAACCGACAAACTGGTCGAAGAAGCAGCCAGAGAAGACAGGACTGCAGGTGAACATAGACAAGACGGAGGTTATGAAAATGACCAACCAACAACAACAACAGCAGCAGCAACATCCAGCGCCAATCACCATCAACGGGAGGGATTTGAAAGAGATCACTTCTTTCACTTATCTAGGGAGCATTGTCTCAACCACAGGAGGAATCAACGAGGATGTCAAATCGAGAATCACGAAGGCGAGAAACACATTCATCAACCTGAAACCAATCTGCAAGTCTTCGTCACTCAGCATCAACAACAAAATACGGATTTTCAATACAAACGTCAAGTCAGTCAGTTCTTCTATACGTTCGGATCAGAAACTTGGCCAGTGTGTCACAAAGAATATTTCCAACAGCCTGTTGCAGACCTTTATCAACAACTGTCTTCGCTCTATACTGAAGATCAGATGGCCGCCGGAAAGAATCACCTAT